ATTTTTTATATATATATATATATATATATATATATATATATATATATGAATTTATTTTTAGATGATAGATAATATTGTTTTCATTTAAAAATATTTTTATCCTTTGAAAATTCCATATGTGTATTCAATGCATCATGACCACGCCCACCTCCACTTCTCCCACAGTGACACTCCCTAGGCCCTCCCGGCACAGCTTCTCCCCATCTTCTGTGTGATCCACTGAGTCCAGTTCATTATTAGTGCTGCACATGGCTGTGGGACTTTCTACTGCGTTTTGTCCAACCTACCAGGCACCACAACCCCAAGGAAAGTACTCTCCCCTCCCCAGCAGCCATCAGCTGCCAGGTCATCCTACTCACGTTCAAAACTGGTTCTCCCCAGAGTCTTGGTCCCACATCTCATCCGGGAGGTTACCACAGCCTCATTCTCACTTGTTCCACCCAGCGAAGGTTCCAGAACCTTCCTAGCTACCTCACCACCCTTTCTCTCCCTTTCATCTTTCCTATCACATTCCAAAGGCCCTGGATATACAGTATTAAACTTTAATGTCTGGTGGCTTCTGAAGCTAAGTGCATCCTAATTAGTAAAGAAATATTTATCTAAGGATTTTTATCTCCTTCAGAATTTTCATTCAGAGCTGGGGAGGCACATTAGTGGCAAAGAACTTGCCTACCAAGAGCAAAGACCTGGTTTTGATCCTTGCTACACAGTATAAGAGTCAAACTTAAAGACTTCCATGATTTGGAGTGGACCTCAGTCCCTGCCCTTGAGCTTGTAGACAGCTAGATCTGTAGTCTCTATTTATAGCAAGCCCCCATCTGGTCCACCTCCCAGGGTCATCGTGAAGGTGAACAAGAGGAAACATAATGCAGGCATGCAGGTGATAGTTTGCAAAGGGGAACATGTAGGACATGGCTGAAAACACCCACGCCCCACCCCTGCCCAGAGAGACTCCTCACCTCGGGATTCATGGAACTCCAGGGTGACGTGAGCATCAAATCCGAGGCTGAAGTAATTGTTGAAGACATTCAGAGGAAGCTGCAAGAATGGACAAATGTGAAGGTGACATTATTCACAGCCAACTAGAAGACACCAACCTAGACCCAACACCAGACCCCATCTCTGGGACAGCTTGTGCAACACAGGTTAGTCAGATCTCACTGTAGAACGTGTTTATGGACAAGATACAGGGGCTCTTGAATTAACTTGTTAGTGGAAGCTCAAATCAAGACATCTCACAAATCATAAAGGAAATAAAGGACACAAATACAAATTACTAAGTAAGACTCATCCTTGCACCAGGCAGTGGTGGCACACACCTTTAATCCCAGCACTCGGGAGGCAGAGGCAGGCAGATCTCTGTGAGGCCAGCCTGGTCTACAAGAGCAGGTTCCAGGATAGGCTCCAAAGCTACACAGAGAAACCCTGTCTCCAAACAAACAAACAAAAAAAAGTCATCCTTGTACATGGTGCAATAACATTTAATGACAATCTTGACACAAAGAGAGACTGATTCCATGAGTTTAGAAAATAAACTTAATTGATAGATACCAGTCTAATTTCCCTATCAGTGTATGTGCCTTTTTCAAGAGTTTTATATTCAACACATAAATAAAGCCTGAAGCCTGAAATAAACAATTTACATGTCATCTATTTTTAAATTTTGCTTTGTTTTCACAAACCTCAATATAAGCAATTAAACAGTGACAGCCATTTGATTTGTATCAGCCATTGCTGATAGAAAAAGGAAACAGCCAAACACACACATACACACACACACACACACACACACACACACACACACACACAGGAGAAATATATAAAGATATAATTCAGATTCCCACTTAATTGGTTAACCCTGCACCTTTATTATGACAACCATAACCATATAGAGCATACATAAGCTCTTTTTCTCCTGTGCTCTGAGTCCCTGACTTTTCTTGTGAGCCAGCAAAAGGGAATGCCATGAGAGCCCCAGTTGAAATTGCAAACATGACATCATCCAAAAACTACACGTCAATATTAGAACAGCCAGAAAAGCACATGGAAAGGGCAATAAAGGAGAGGATGATCCCCCACATTTCTTTCCATACTCAGAATGCAAGATTGATAATAATTAAAAGAGGCAATGTCCCTAGATAACTGTTAGGTTTATGTCCCAAATTGAATTGCACCCTTTTGCTATTAGAAATAAGTGTTGAAACCTTTAAAGTTTCAAAACCATTCATTAGAGTGTGTCACACACTTCTTACTTGATCAAAAAGATTTCTTGGTAAGCTGAAGGGAGAATATTGTCTCATTAAAAGAGAGGGCAGAGGAGGACCTTCTTGATGTCTGTCTCTGGTTGAAAAAAAGGGGGACCCCACATTGAAGCCCCTGAGACTGAGCCCTGATGGGTCAGGGGCTGCATCAGCCCTTAGAATTAGTTTCAACAAACCAAGGAGTAGAGAGAAACTCCAGCTACACAGTAATGCCAAAGCCATGTCTAACTCTCTGGCTTCGTATTTGAGAATGTCCAGTCCCTGCACTTAGACAAAACCCCAACCCCTGTAAGGACAGCATGGTGATCGTGCCAAAATCATAGAAACATTCTACCATTTATATTACTTTGGCTACAATTCTAACCCATGTCTTAGCAGCCACTGATAGCTAAGGAAAACATCTGGTCACAATTCCCTAAGTAATATTCCAATTTAGTCTGTTTTTAAGGTATTCACATTTTCCAGGAAAATGTGCCCCAATTTTCTACATATCCCCAGACTCCATCCCCAAAGCCCTTTAATTATCTGGATTGACATCCTCTGGCTGCATCAAGAAGTCTTTCCATTTCTCAGGCTTTTGGGAAAAGAGTTAAATTGTAGTCCTAGCTAGTCCACATTTAGCAGAAAGGGCCTGAAATTTTCCTTTTCAGTAGAAGGTCCCCCTCTTTCTACATTGGTGGTTTTCTATCCAACTCAATTAACTCAAATAAACAGTTAAAAGTATCACATATGTTTATGTTTAAACAATGTTCAATTGGGAACTCAACTTCAAGTGAACGATCCTAATGTCCCCTAGAAGATTTATTGATTTCAGGAGTGGAGTTGAGGGGAACAAAGCCAGGGAGATGAGCAGAGATGTTTAAGCCATGCAAAACACTTGTGTGCCTAACACAACTGTCCAGCACTGTAGTGAACAAGAAACTTGGGCTCAGTGGATGGATCCAAACTTGCAAGGATGTTACTTGAAGTGCAGGTATGGAGGCCTTATCCCTTCATTAACTTACTCCAAATCTCTGGAGAAAGACACACTCTTCACGCTAACAAGTGTACCAGGAGACTTGTAAGCCTGCAAAACGGTGGCCATGGTATCACAGAAAAAAAGAGAGAAGTTACATGGAGGGTATGTCTACATAGTCACATACCAAGTTAATCAGAGATCCAGGTCAGAACTTGGAGTAAGGTGCTGAAGTGAGGTGGCATAGTAGTTTATTTACTGCAATAAACTACTATGGGTTGGGTTGTTTTTACCATAAAAGCTCAGTCACCAAAAGAAACACCAAGACAGACTACTTCCTTACCACTTCAAGTCCCAAGCAGATGAGGTAATTGGCTACACAGAAGAGATGTTTGATGTCAGGCCAGCAAGGTCTAAGGTTTCCTACCTACTGAAAGGCTGTGTGCCTAATGCTTAGGGACATACATGTATTCTGTCTTCTCAAGAGATTAACAACTGTTTACATGCTTTCCCGTGTGGAGCTAAAGATGGAGAAGAAGTCCCTGAGCTCTGGAACAAGTATAATGCCTGAGTCCTAAAAGGCCTGTGGAGAGATATACAGGAGGGAGGTGGTAACAGTATACTCACAGCCTTAAGAGGCAGAATTCCAAAGATATCCTATTATCTTCTAGAAGGCAGGAGCCCATGAGAGTGTCTTAAGGAATGTGTTGTGGATGCCCAGTGCTCCATCAGCGGAAGAAGATACTCTCCCTCCCCCCCCCGCCCCCCCCCGTGTGTGTGTTTATTACTATTTTTATTTATTTTCATGCATGCATGTGTGTGTACATACATGCAAACATCTACAGAAGTCAGAAGAGGGTGCCAGATCTCCCAGAGCTGGAGTTCCAGGCAACCGTGAGCCACCCAACAGGAGTGCTGGGAACTGAACTCCAGCCCTCTGCAGGAGCTGTGAGTGCTCCTAACTGCCCAGCTATCTCTCAGTCCCCCAAAGGAACAACTGTCTAACCTTACACACGCCATCTTCAAGTTCTTCGGGTGGCAAGTCTGGGTTTCTCTCCACATGGAGGTTCCAGCGGTCCAATTGTACAATGGTCCCGTCTTCCACCTGGCACAGGATCTTAGAAACAGGCTCATCAGTATAGCCCTGAGGACAGAATCAAAGCACAGACCCTTGCTGTCTGGATCAGAAAGCCACAGTCAATGCCATAGCAAGGTGGAGTTGGCCATAATCCTGCTGGTTTTAAAACACAAAGGCTATGTACATTAAACATAATGGTTAAAAGGAGCTCATGCAAGCACTAGCTTGGCCTGAGCTGAGCTGAGGACCAACCCGCTGGCACCAAGAACAGTGGGCATGTCCTGGGTGGCTGCTTTTACTGGAGTGAACAGCGCGATTCCCATGCCTCTTGTTGGAGGAAATTGGGGCCATACTCAAGTGAGTGTGGGGAAGGGAGGGAGCATAAAGGAAGACTGAAGGTCCCATCTTACTCACTAATCCCTGATCTTGTGTTGGGAGGCTCCCCATCTGTGGTCTGAGGTGAGTTAGCCTGAGAAGCAGGGCTGATGAGAACAGTACTTTCCTGGAGAGCTGTTAGTAACAGCATGGTTATTTAAGGTAGTCACACACTAGCTTTGCACAGGAGAAAGTGACACAAGTAATAGTTTGGTTGTGTCATGTAAGTGAGCTTGTTTTTATGCCAGCTACTTAAAAAGTAAAAAACACAGTAAAGCAATATATAACAACAAAAAATGCTTTAATAGGTTAATTCTGCTATAGGCTGGATGAATGTCTACCATGGATCTGATCACCGTCCTATGAAAGGCATTCCAGGCAATGGCCTAGTAAGAGGGGCTTAGGAAGTTAGCAAGTGGACATGTTAGTACCTTTTTAAAAATATCTTATTTTATTCTCCTGCAATTTCATACCTGTATATAAGGCACTGTGATCATACTCACTCCCCACTAACCTCTGTTATTCCCCTTTTACTCCCTCTGACTCCTTTCTCTTCCCAAGACCCTTCCCAATTTTCATGTCTTATTTTCAATGGTCCACTGAGTTTAATCAGAGTTTTTTTGGGTAAGCATGGATGTGTGGTTATTAATTGGAGCATGAGCTATTTACCAGAGCCTACACCCCTAAAGAAAATTTACCACATACAGCATCCTTTAATACCAACAGTTCCTGGGCTAGGTATGTTAGTATTGTGTGGCTTGTTAAGTCTTAGTACAGTAAGATAAATATACACATAAAATAGCCAGTTAGTGACAAGAGGGGACTTCCTTCACAACTTCCAGAGAATGGGAAGGGCAATAGGACACCGGTATCATCAAAGCTATAATAACAATGACCAGAAAATCTCCAAGTTCAAAAGAAGTAGTGCCTGTCTCAAATGGTCATTTTGAAATCTACCAGGTTTGCAATTATGGCCAGGGCTAAGGGTCAGGATGAATGCAAACTCGCCAGATTGTTCCAGATGAACACCTGAGGCCAACCCACTCACCGTGTGCAGGTGGATATCTCAACAATCATCCCGTCTATGCACTAACCATATGTTTGTTTTATACCCCACTTCCCCCTCCCTGGCTGATTCTAAGTGTAAACTGAAGAAGTTACAGATACACGGGCAATTTGAGTCCCATGTCTAACTTGTCCCTGGACATCAGCAGCAGCTTACTGCTTCCAGTGATGAGCACAGAGTGATCTGGGGATGTGGTTTGCCCCTCCGTGGTAGGGACAGCCACTTGCAGTTCTTACCCCTCCCCAGTTGAGCGTCCTAGCCAGGTCATTCCCAGTCCCCAGTGGAAGCACCCCCACAGGAGGCTGTGGGCTCAGCTGCAGCTCATCCAGGATGGAGAGGATCCAGCCCACCTACAGACACATTGGGGACCAGAAGAGAGAAAAGAAAGACAATAAGTCACCAGGAAGGAACTCACAGGAGGTGGCTGGAAAGGTCACAATACTTAAAACACATGGTTAATCCAGCCATCAGGGAACAGAAAGCCAACTTACTTCCAGTGGTTTCAAAATGGTCAACCCCTTAATAGGAAAAAGACTGCTTCATGCATGCTCTATTATATAAGCAAATTGGGAGCCGTCATCTGCATGTTTATCTAGACAGGCACTTTAAAATTTAGGGGAATTTAAGGCTAGTTAGAGGGGTAAATATGACAGAGTATCAGAGAGAATACAAAACTCAGAATCAGACTAAATTTCAATGCTGGCTCAGACAGGCTGCAGAACCTTGATTAAATTGGATAACTTCACAGAGACTTATTCATCTGATTTTCAAAATGAGATAATGATACCCACCTCCCAGGACCATTTACAGCTTAAACTGCAATGCATATAAACACCGTAACCCTGTCTGTGGCCCATGTAGGCGCTCATTAGATGACAACTCCACAAGCACCATTTTGGAAATTCATAGTGTTTTCTTAACTGCTCCTCTATTCTCTTTAATTATCCACTATGAGAAGACAATTGTGAATGGACTTAGTGTCTAATATAAATTTAGGCATACCTTACATACTTATACACTAGAATCACATGCCCCACTTAACCCTTGTTCTGGGAGAAATAACGATTTGAATACAGCCATATTACAATTTAGACAAACATCTCCAAAGCCAAAAGTAGCAAAAAAAAAAAAATCCAGAAAAACAAAAAACAACTTACAAATCTTTGTGATGTCACACAGACCCATGCTCCATAGGTCTCCCTAAGAATTCCCATGTATGGCTTTCATAGTGGAACTGCAAACTCCATGAAGAGATAACTTTAAAAGTGATAGCTTCGGTTCCCCATTGCATACTAACCAATTTTATCTCGAATTTGGAAAAAATAAAATAAAAAAGTCTTGCTAGAGACTACAGAATTCGTAACCTACTCTCTGATAGATGAACTTTATTGTCTCACTGGTTCATTCAAGAGCTTAGCAAAAGAGTGGCACATCTTTATTCTATACTTGTAGGTATGCGTGTCATGATTTTTTTAACAACATTTTAGCAGTGCATTTAGTTAGCACTACCAACTGTACACCCAACAGAGCAGAGCAACTGAGATAACGAGATTAATGAGTTGAGCCACACTAGATAAAACAAAATGGCTGCCCTCAGAGTTCACACTAATAAAAGATGGTACACTGATTATAATTTCCATGCTCTCCCCAAGCAAAATCCTTTAATGAATCACATTATTAAACTTTAAAACTGTCAGGATGAAGCCATTAACAATAAATTAACGTAAAAAGACTCCATAAGATAGTTCTATTTTAGTTTCCACTTTAGAAGAGAGCTGAGTGGTAAAGTGACATCAGAGTCTCCTCGTCCATGCATTAGAACCGCCATTCCTAATTAGGTAAGACTGACAGCAGTTAGTGGGGCCAGTCTCTTCACCACTGAAGAGAAACACGTTTTCATAAAGAGGTGAGCATAACTGTGCCTGCTGGCACATGCCTACAATTCCAAACCTCTCAGGAGGCTGAGGGAGGAAGATGGCTAGCCTAGGCAATGTCTGACACCCTTTCTCAAGACAAAGCAAAATAGGGAGGTGTCTGGGATACAGATCAATGGTAAATTTCCTGCTAGGCATTGCACAAAGCCCTCAGTTCAGTTCCTAGCACCACAAAATTACTAAACAAACCAATCATACAAAACTCAGTTCTAGAAATTATGTGCCTTTGGCATCTCTGGAACTAGAGAAAGCTCAGAAACAGATGATCAAAGCCAGGCATGGTAGTACTCATCTGCAGTTACATTTACCCAGAAGCCCGAGGCAGGGAGGATTGCTTGAGCTCAGTAGTTCAAGACCAGCCTGGCCAACAGAGTGTGCGTAACCTCTACCTCAAAAAAAGCAAAAGGGAAAATAAGATCAAGGCAAGAAGTTGTTGAATCAAATCCAGTAACCTGCAGAGTTTTTCACCTAGACTCAGAAAGATCTCCTGATTTTTCCACAGAAAATGCAAAGGCAGAGTGAGAGTGTAAAATCCTTTGTCCTCCAGTGACTCCTTCCCAGGACATAAGCCTTGCCATCTACCAAAGAAGCCCAGTGGCATGCTCACTTTCTAGAAAGGCTCACCACGGCATTCACTAAATGTGATATGCTAAAAACACAGACCTTTGTAAGTGTCAAGAGCTACCCCTGGACCATGCTTAGGCTGTGACCTAGGTTTCTCCAGCTCTTCTTGCACACAATCCCAGTCAAGTGTTTCAGATGCCAATCAGTTCTCATGGCCCCGCTGGCTATCACTCGGGTGCTACCGAAGTACCGCTAAACCACTGAAGTACCACTAAACACAGTGAGAGCTCAAAGTTCTAGGAAACTGCAGGAAGGATGTGGAAGGTTACCAAAGAGGGCACACCATGCAAATGCTCAAGGCAGACACACACAGCATGTATGCGATAGAACTCAAAATCTAATTCCACAACCCATCCAGAGAAGAAAAATGGGAGCTTCCACAAAACTTCTCTGAGAGATGGCCATTCACCCTCCTCTTTTCCATCCCAGATTTAAGTAAGAAATTGGTTTTATTTTAGTTGGCCTCTGTTTCCTTTGGGAAGATGGTTATATTAGTTAGTTTACCCTTACAACATCTGATTTCACTCTAAACACAGGAAAAACAGGGGAAAGAGATGAAAAAGACATGTCTTCTTGGCCCACTGACAAAACACAAAGTGCCAAAGGTGAGGTGAAAGCTTGGGGCAGCCTGCTCCCAGGTCTTAGGAATGGAGGAATCCGGGTTGCCCTCTGTCTAACAATAGGGAAGAAACACACCTCCTGCTGGTAGGAGGCTGTACTGGCACATAGTGCCCTCTAGACAGGGGACAGGATAGTTGGAACAGAGTGCAGACGACCATTCCTGAGGCCATGTCCCACGGAACTGTGACTTGCTATATCTGGAAGAAACCGAGAAAGGCTCTGTCAGCCTCCCAGTAACCCAAGCATGTTTTTCTAGCACAGGTGTCTTCACCACCTACAGCAAACGCAGTTCTAGTCTGATAACTCTTACACTGCTCTGTAAGGAAATGAAACAGATAGGAAGTGAAAAAACTGCCTCTGAACAGGAGCCTATAAAGAAAAATTCTTAAATCACTGGAAGGCTCACACCGAAAGGGATGGAAAAGAGGATTAGTCACAAACTGCAAAGTTACAAATGACTTTGAAAGGTGTCCTGTGACTTCCTGTGAGTATATCGGTTGCCAATCAAACCTTCTTAGGCTCAGCTGCTGTCTGCTTTCTCAAAAGAATTTCCCAAGAGCTCTGCTTGATCTGTGCTCAGCTCCGCACAGAGCCCAGGGGGCTTGTGAATTTCATACCCTTGTCGCAAAAGGGCTAAGCATAATTCTTCAGACTTGCTCACAAAGAGGTTTTTACTTTACAAACTGGAATGCGTGTATCATGTATGCACATGTACCTGTTTGTGCCTTATGTATGTGTGAGTCCACATGCATGTGTGTATGCATCTGTATGTGTGAATGTGTATTTCAGTCTCCTTATTTTGTTGATCCAATAGTTTTCCTTGACTACAAGCATGCCATCTTGTATCTCATTGCTATATTCATCATCGAATGGTATCATATGCCTTTTACAACTCTTTTATTGTCTTGTTATTCTCATGAATGACCACTATCACACAGATGGTCTTCTGGCTGGGGTGAATCAGCATCTACTCTTGGAACAGTCCCAAAGAGTTTTTCCCCCTTTCCAAGAAATACGATGTTACTATTCAACATCCAGTTGCCCAGAAGGCAGCACAGTGGTGGGGCATGGAACCTGACCAAGACATTGGCATTGCAACCAAGCTCCGGTGAGTACTGGAGTGGCCAAGTCACTTCCTCATCTATAAAACAAAGAGCACCTGTGCCTGCCCTTTACTGTCATCTTCTCCATTGAATTTGCAGGCTTTGCTTTGAACATACTTGACAAGCAAGAACTTAGCTGCTACACCCAACTGGACTTTTCTTCCAGTCTTCTTACTTCACCAGTGGAAGTCATTTCTTAGAAGGAAAACACCATCTTCCCTCTACTCTACTTGAAGGAAGTTGAGCCCTAAACTTGAAAATCAGCCTCACCCTCACCTGTCTTTAAGCCATGCAGTCTGCCTTTTGCAAACTACAAATAATAGCAAAAGCCAAGCTTTCCTGCAACAGAAAGAGGCTGTCAAAAGTGATGGACACAAATACGCTGCAGGAGCAGGAGAAATGAAGGATCATTGGTAACACCCTACATGTTTGTTCTTATGAAAGCACAACAAAATTATATAAAAGATCTTCAGGCACCGAAGCTGTTTTGGGGGTGCAGCTTGGCCTCCCTAGTTATAATCAGAGACCTGCTGTTGCCATGAGCCCAGATTTAAGACAAGCTCTCCTATCGGTTCTCCATTTTATTGGGCTCTAAATGTTCTCCAAATTATCTGTGCCAGCCCACCAGCACTCTTCCAATTTATTCTTTAATTCACTACAACACTCAGCACTTGATGTATTTTTTGTAAACCAGTGAAGAAAGTTACCCTGATTGAGCCAGCTTGCAGAGCTCTGCCCTTCCTTCATGAGGACCAGCAGGACTGACAGATTGAGAGCACCAGGTCCCCCTGCCTCGCCTCTTGCCTGAGCAGGCACAGCACTGCAGCAGCAGCTGGCCAATGCTGCCACCACCTGCCTGTGCTCAGCTCTAACTGTCACAGAAGGACACCAAGTAATATCTGCCTTCCACGGTGCACTGACATCAGATGGAACTGAGGATTATGGATGACAGTGAATTCACATTTTCCTCTAATGGAACAGGCAAACCCTGACTGCCTTGTATGAAGCAGAAAAGAATGAAGGACACATGCTTTGGGAAATCAGGGGAGAATGACAGTGACATCCCTC